TCATTTCTATGTGTGGTCTCTGGTTCTGACAGTTCCACAGTTTCCTGCAGGTGAATTGAAGTAATAACACCATGGTGTAGATTTTGGTGTTTCAGCCAGAAATATGGGGCTGGGATTTTTCAGAGACATCTGGTCCTCACAGTCTGTGGGCGGATGAGCGTCGGCATTTGGCCATCGATCAGCCAGACTTAGACCAGATGCTGTGACTGGCACAACAGGAGGGAAGGAAATCTGCTCTTCACCTTGAGATGGAGATGAGGAAAATAAAAACAACACCAACACCAGATAATCACAGAGGAAAGGTCACGATCAACGCTGAAACCACGCAAAAAACACTAAAATATAGCGTTTTTTAGGGGGAGTCAAAAGTAGCCAAAAGTTAGCCAAGAATGAACCATTGTGGAAGACAAAATATAACTAAAGGTTAGCTCCGAGAAAGCTAATGTTAGCCAAAAATAGCCAAATGTTAGCATAGATGTTGAATATTGAGAAAAAAAGACAGCTAAAGGTTGGCACTAAATCTTGGCAATGTTTGCTAAAGGTTAGCTCAAAGCAGCTTGATGTTAGCCCAGATAAGATAGGAGGATAAGAGCAGCTGTGAGGTCCTGCAGGAAGCTGTAACTGTCACTCAGAATAAAATCTGGAAGGTGTTTGGAAGAGTGGTGTTGGGTTCTACAGTTAGAAATGAGTATTTTCAAAACATTTCTAAAGATTTTTCCAGAAAAGAGACAAACGCAACTGCAGTGTATTTAACAGGAGCAGCAACACTGTCGGTTTCCTGCTGTGATTTAACTGCACACAGTTTTGTGAAAATGAAGGAGATCCATCCTCAGCCACACGGGAGGAAACCCACTCTTCTGTTGGAGATATTTACTATTTGTGGGTTAAGTTTCCTTTTCCCCCCCCTAACCCCCCCCCCCCACCCCACTCCCTAACTGCCTTTCCCCCAGCAGGAGTGAGGAATCATCACACGTTTACATCCTGCAGGGACAAGTGCACACAAACACACAAACACTTGATACGGCAGTTGAACACAGAACTACGAAGACAGAACCATCAGCTGAATTGTGCTGCCATTATTTTTTTATCTTTATATTATTTATTTATACTCTATTTATAACTGCTCTTTGCACAATCTGACTGCTGTCAATGTCATGACAAATAAACCTTCACGAGTCCTGAATCTTGGCATCAAGCAGATCCTTTACATATAATCCTTTGTTTTTCACTCCTGTGGAAAAGACTTTGATTCTGACACATTAACACACCTTAACACCTGTTAAAAACGTATTATTATTATTATTATTTTAATGTACTTTATACTGTTTTATTGTTTCAGCTATGCACTTTATACTGTTTTATTGTTTCAGCTAAAGGCTTTTTTTGGGGCAATTATTTATAAATCACTGTTGCCTTCTTTGTTGATGGTTTATCGATCAGATCATCACTACATTTCATTTCACTGATGAAATCTGGGACTTGGTTTGGTCCATGGTCTGTGTGCCGTAGATGAAAATGAAACAGGAGTGCATTCTGTCTGACAGCTCAAATATAAAGCAGGGCGTTGGACGACACCTCAGTTCCATTAACACCATCCTGCTTCTTCTGACACCTAACACACGAGCCTGGGTTTTCACCTGGGATTGAAGACAGACACCACCTGGATCAGCTGATCTGAAAGGTTCAATCTTTAACAGGAAGTGATTCAGCCCTCGGACTTTCCTGTCCGCCGAGGGAGCCGTTCACATACTTTCACACTTCAGATCCATTAGTGAACGTCCTGTTCCGTTTTCACACCTGTCACTGTGACGCCTGTGTTTGTGCAAATGAAAACACTGAGAAAAACCTCCAGAGACTTGATGAAGAGTCTCAGAGTTCTCAGCTTTGATTCCAGTCTTTGTCCGTCACCGAGTGCTAGGATTAATTCAACACATCATAGTAAACTAGGGCTCACAGGTCGGGGGAGCGGCTAGTGCTTCTGCCTAACAGAGAAAAGATCACTGACTCAACCAGAACCAGTAACTGCTGCTCCATCTTCATGGAGTCCTTTCTGTCAAACCCTGAAGAAGTCCAAAAGCCATGTGGCCTCAAAGCTGTGCTTATTTCTGAGTCTGCTTCACACTCAAAAAACATGCCAGCTGTAATTAGGCTCATTACGATGATAATGCCGCAATGTGATTGGTCGACTGGTTCAAGGCAGAGTTGATGTTATATTTAGACCTGAGGTGATTCGTCCAATGTCTGCTTAGTGACATGACTTCACACTCTGTTTTCTGACACTGCCAATCAAAGTTGCCAAAAGGGGGCGCTAAAGAGCAATTCATCAGCACTGACTTAGGTTTTCTTCCAATTATCTTTTGTGTTACTTTATGGTCCTTGCATTTCTGTTAAGGACTTCTAGGTGGAAGAGTGATTAGTGACCTTGCCCTACATCAAAAAGGTCAAGAGTTCGAGTCCCTGTAGTAACTGATGGTACTGTTTATCTGCGTGGAGTTCTGCTGTTCTCCTTGTGGACGTTTAAGTTTAGCTGTAATTAGGCTCATTACGATGATAATGCCGCAATGTGATTGGTCGACTGGTTCAAGGCAGAGTTGATGTTATATTTAGACCTGAGGTGATTCGTCCAATGTCTGCTTAGTGACATGACTTCACACTCTGTTTTCTGACACTGCCAATCAAAGTTGCCAAAAGGGGGCGCTAAAGAGCAATTCATCAGCACTGACTTAGGTTTTCTTCCAATTATCTTTTGTGTTACTTTATGGTCCTTGCATTTCTGTTAAGGACTTCTAGGTGGAAGAGTGATTAGTGACCTTGCCCTACATCAAAAAGGTCAAGAGTTCGAGTCCCTGTAGTAACTGATGGTACTGTTTATCTGCGTGGAGTTCTGCTGTTCTCCTTGTGGACAGGTTTTCTCCAGGTTCTCCAGCTTCCTCCTACAGTCCATCATTTCTGCTAAATTCTTTGCAGGATCGTTGGGAGCCAATCCCAGCAGTCAATGGGTTAGGGCGGAGCCAATCCTGCGGTGTATCCTAGTTCTTCAATCCATCACATTAACACCGAAAGAAAATTTAATGTCTGCTCATACTAATCACTAGAGAACTCAGAGAAAACCCACGGTCACAGGAGGAGAACGTGCATACTGTAGGTCCAGCAAATAGTCTCTACATGTGCCCCGGCGACGGACTGTCCAGAGGGTGACCCCTCCCTCGACCTGTGACTGATGGGACTGACTCCAGCTCTGGACTTGAACACTCACCACATAGAGCTGCTTCCACAGTAACGCCCACTCCTGCAGCGTGGACGTCACCTCGGTGATGATGGGGTCTTCCAGAGGAACCACAGTCTCATCAGGCCTGGGTCAGAACACAACAAGAACTTTACCAACACTGAAGAACAGGCGGCGAGACAACAACACACACTCGTGCACGTTCAGTAGCTTCATTCTGGTCTGGTCCTCCTTCCTGGAGTCTCAGGATGGTTCTGGCAGCAGTGAGGTCTCCAGGCCTTGAGTGAAGTCATAAATCCAGGAGCTGAGAACCTCATTTCACCTCAACCTCCAGGATTTCCTCCGTGTTAACTCTCTTCCTTACCTTCTCTGAGACACGACTCCTACCACGGGGGAGTTGTTGTGTAAAAGCTGACTCACTGAGTCAGTGATAAAAATGTACTCTCCATCTTCTCCTCTCTGTTCCTCTCACTCTCCTTGTCAGATACTCTACGCAGATGTAACTGTTTCTTTATGTATTAAAATATAATCAGACACATCTTTATTTTTAAAAATGTGATTTTTTTTCTAAAGAAGGCTCACTGTTAATGGATGCGAATGTCTAAAAATGTGAAGGCTCACTGTTAATGGATGCGAATGTCTAGTTTTGAAAGCTAAAGCCCACGACGTACCACTAGAGGGAGACAAAATAAATAAATGTAACAAAGATAATTTCTATGTTTTGAATCACTTGTTTTATTTATCCTGTTTTAAATAAATGTATTTATTATACTTTTATTGCTTGAACAGCTTTGAAATTAAATGATCAATTATCAAATATGTGAATGTTATTTATATATTTTCAAATATGGGATTTTGAACATTGTGAATCAGAAGAAAAAAACAAAATGGAGGAGGTTAAAGAAGTGGGTGTGAAAAAGAAAAAAAGGAGACGAGCAGAAGGAAAATATTTTAGTTTGTCATTGGGTGATGTTTTTTCTCTAATATCTGACTTTCTCTTCTGTTTTTTTTTTTACCAAGTTCATCACATCTCTGTGTCTGTACCAGTGATGACCTTCAGAGACTGGTCAGAAAAAAAATCATTCTGGACATTTTGTTGTGTTTTTCGTAGGCAGTTTGAGGAGAACTCACCCTCGATTGCTGACGGTGGCTTTCTTCAAGTGGACGTAGCTGACAGGAAAAACTCCCTGCAGACACAGACAGAGAGAACTGTGGACAACGACGAGGCTAACGTACACGTACAACCACGTCTTGGTATGTGGGACAATTCTCGTCACAACATTTTCTAAAATAAACATATATTTCTCAGAGAGTTTCTTTACATTATCTTCCATGAGTCTAAAGTACAGCGGTAGAGAAAACAGCTCTCCTGGTTCCTGTCCCGGTCTGTGGTCTCACTGGACTCCAGACCCTTTTTGCATTTCATATTATGGACGGAGACCAGATCAATCTTCTCTGCTTTTTTTTCTACTGATGAAGGCAGAATCTGATCCTGGAGCTGCAGCAGCAGTAAATATAACACCGTCCACACTCGGTCTTTATCGGATGATCCTAGAGCCTGATGGAACTTTATCAATATTTTCTTTTTAAAACGTAGCTCAGCTGATTAGGAAAACCACTAAAGTCGATCTCAGGTTATTTTAGACTTTTCAGAAAAAGTCCTTTTTATATTGATGTCCATTAAAAAAAGCCCCCACTGTTTCATCCACTACCGCCTCCGTCACTCAAATCCAGTTCAAATGTGTTGTTTTGTGGATTTTAAAATTTGTTTTGTTTAGATTTTCCTCAGTGACACAAACTGACCACAGGAGGCAGGAGTGGACCAGCATGTTCAGTATCGCCGTGACATATAATGACTGATTCGATTCCTCTTTGGACTTTGGTGTGGGAGAGAAGTTGTCATGGTTGTCAAAAATATCCTAGAGATACAGTGTATATATTGTCAGTAAAGTTTAACAACGTGGTCTGAGGATTTAAATACAACTGACAACTGCTTTTTGTCCAATATTAAACTGATAAATTAAGTCTAGTTCATGTGAAGTCTTTAAATGAGACACGTTCAGATTTATAAATGTCAGAAGACTCGACGGTCAGAGGACAAATGAAACGTTGTCGACGTTGACGTTGTCATTTACAACTGTTCTTTTCCCTGTTTCCGCCCCCCCGCTGTGAATCATCACAGTCATTTTCACATCATCATCGCTCTTGTCCAAACTCCATATTTAAAGCTGTCACTTTTCTCCTCACTGACACGTCGACACTGAGCAGGATGTATAACAATAACAATAACAACAACAACAACAACAACAACAACAACAACACACACCACACAGACACACAAACTGTCACACAGTCACATTCTATTCTAACAGAAGCAGCAAGAAGACTGTTCAAATATTGTTGGAAAAATAAGTCTATGTTACAAAAATACGCTTCGAGGAAGTTGTTTCTAAACAAGATCTGTTCAAGAAAAATAAAAGTTCATGAACAATACACTAAATAATATACCAATATACCGTCTACAGCGGGGTCCCCAACCCTGGTATTGGTCTGTAGATCATTTGGCACCGGTGGGACACAATAATGTTCATATATATTCTTGATTTAAATATAATCTGCCAATATTTCAAAATAATATGCCATCCAGACTCTGATACTAACAGAATAAAGTCTAAAAGAGGTTTTATTTTGAAAATGTGATCCTTCAACAATCGGAGCGGTGCCGTCCGGTCCTTGGTACAAAAATGGTTGGGCCTCACTGGTCTACAGCATGAATGAACTAAATGATTAGCAAAAGATGGTGGCCAAATTATAATTAGCTAACACAGAACAAAGATTGCTAAAGGTTAGCTTAGCTAACGATGCTTCTCCATTAACACTGTTACCACTGATTCTGCCATTTCAAAGGAAATGTTAAATATGCATCAGCACCACATCCTTCCTCTACATGTATGTGTGTCTGTTAAAGCTGCATCTCCTCCATCATACTCCGTTTCAGAGACAGGAAACAGACACATGTCTCCCTGTCTGGGAAGTTTAAAGCTCTTCCCTCGTTTGACTGCATCTCTAAATTATTCAGACGCTCTGAGCGCCTTAATGGAAGCTCTGATGTTAGCAATCCTCCCTGACAACACAACGCTCCTCAGAAGTTGATTTAGCAAAGACAAATGTTTGGCTCTCAGCAGTGAGAGCCGTTCCTCCTGTAAGTGCAGGTGTTCTACACATCTTAACTAAAGTAGAAAACACAAACAGACATGATAAAATGCTGCCACAGCTAAATTCTAACTGAGGTTAGCTTTATTGTCACTATAAGTAGTACTGTAGTACAGCACAGCGGAGTATAGAACAAACACGTGTGTTATGTTGAGGCAGCAGTAGCTAACAGCAACTGTTAGCAATTTATAGACTTTTTTACATGGCGTTCCACATGGTAACATTGTTGGACCCTTAGTGTCAACACAAACAGGAAAAAAAAATCATCATTTTGTGGCAGGAACTACATGTACTGCATGTGTATCTCTTACCTTGACGTTTGGTTTCCTTGTTGAAAAACCTCTGAACCATCCTGTGAAAAAAATAATAAAATATCAGTCATCAGTTAATGCAGTTTGGTTTTTATTTACTCATAAATAAAAATAAATATATAGATAGTTATTTAAGGAGACAGGTAAAAATATAGGAAGCTACTTTTTTGGTTTCCATTTAATGTAGAGAAATAATTTCACCTAGAAAGCAGCGCGAAATTGAAGACAAATTACAAAAATGTCGAGCTCAGCGAGCAGAAACATCAATGTTGTCAGTTTTGTGAAGCAGAACCGGCTGTGATTCTAACCGGACATAGGAAGGTTCAGGACACAAAACATCGCAAAATTGATGTTAATGTATTCAGTGACACAAACTGACCCGTGGAGGCAGCAGAGGGCCGACAGCGTCTGTGTCTCTGTCAGCTCAAATCCTTGATTTTCTCAGTAGACCTCGGTATGAGTACAGTATTCAGTTGCGATGTTGGAAAAATGGGACCATGTTTCTTCTCAATGTGAACATTACACGTATCTGCTGGTACACTACTGCCTCTTGTGGTCCTTTGATTATAGATCATTTTCAAAATTCCACTTCTGGGTTGTGTTTATGAAGAGTAAATTATTGTTGTGTCACATTTTCTAGTGAACAGAATGGAATCTTCAGACTGTGTTCTCATCTCTTCAAGACCGCAGCAGCTCGTACTGATCTAATCTGAATATGGAGATGATGGCTTTAATTGACTCAGGTGATTAATAACCAATCAGGAGTGGTTTGGTCCAGACAGCTGTGAGTTTACTCCCTGTTCTGTCATCTAAATGTTAATCAGGCTGCAGCAGAACAACATCTGCTCCTCGGTCTCTAACTAACCTCAGAAACGGAGGAGCAGGAGGAGAAGAAAAGACAAAGATCAACCTCAGAAGGAGAACCACAGGACGTTGGTCTGTTACTGTTACTGCAGCACTAACTCAGACCTCGTTACTGAATGACATCACTTCCTGTCACCAGGTGCATCCCCTCTCTGAGCTGGAACAGCAGCAAGAATGGAAGGAGCATCACCTAATGACTCTGGCTCCGGTCCAAACCATTACAGACCGTTTGGAACCGATTACTGTAGACAGCCACCAGAGCATTTATGATAACAGGCTGAGCAGCAATAACACGCTGCTTTATTCCTCTTTAATGGACCAGGATTCACTGGTGCAGGACTGTACTGATGCTGATGCTGCTGCTGATGCTAATGCTGCTGATGCTAATGCTGCTGATGCTGCTGTGGAAGGTCATTTCCTTAAAACACACTGAGTCACTAACGTTTAAGACTAAAACAAATTAAACCAAACTTACAGAAATGTTGTCGTTTGATCTAAAGAGAAATATTCAGTTTAGCTAGCTTGAAGCTACGTCAGGCTAAGTTTTTTTTTGGAAGAATTTCTGAAATCTCCTGAATGAGTCCTGCAGTATCATTTGGCCTCACCTTCACATTTCTCCAGGATCTGAACAGTTTCTCCAACCTCCAGAGCCAAACCCTGAGTCACCGAGCCTCGGAAAGTGCAGATCACTAGAGGAGAGAGGAGAGAGGAAGGAGAACATGTTTATCATTTGAAAATGCACACGACAGCAGGACGAGAAGGTACGGAATAAAGTAAAGGGTTAGGGTTAACTAAAGTGAAGACAAAGTCTCCATGTAAACATAGGACGATGAAGATGATGATGATGATGGTGTGTGTAAACCCGGTGAACGCTATATTTAGTCCACGCTTTTCAGATTACGTCTAATCCTAGAAAAATCCAGGACAGACCTGAACTGGACTGTAATGCCAGAAAAAATTGAAAAAGTACTAGAAAATTAGTTCCAATTCCAATTAAAAAGTCCAAGAGGTGAGGGGTTTCCACCACAGGTAACTGTGTAAACATAAGTTCCAGGATCTGCTTCCAACTCGAGAGGAACTGATGCAGTCACTAGTCCCTGGAACTAGAAGTAGTACCAGGAATAGACACAGTAACAAGAACATTTCTTCAACAACTCTGTGTGATTTCAATAGCTTTTAAAAAAAAATTTGCTCTAATAAGTGAGTACTAAGAACTACATTAGCACCACAGAAATCAGTACCAGGAACTAAGGGTTCAGCCACTAGGAATAATACATACATACATAATACAAAAGTACCAGGACAGTATGTCATTTAGCTTTTCTTTCAGTGAACATAGAAGCAAATTAAAAATTCTACATCTGACAAACAGTCCACTGTGTTCCACACACGTGACATCATCCTCTCACACACGTGTAGGTTGGTGTTTACATGGCCTGACCTAAATGTCTGCTAACGTGCTTCAACTCCCGGGTAGTCAAGTGACGGTGAGAGCAGCGTCCATTACCCTGAGAGTCTGCAGGATGTTTGAATAATTCACAGATGATGAATTTGAGTCAAACATCGGTTTATGTTTGAAACAATGAAATATTTACGCAGGATTCAAACTAATTCAACTGTTTGTGTTTGAGAACACAAGAGAAAAACAGTTCCATTGAAGTACTGAAAGTTCCAGTGAAGATGATCAGAACACAGAGAGAAAAACAGTTCCATTGAAGTACTGGTGTTTTCTGAACTCTGTGGAACTGTTTATCCACTCAGTCACCAGCAGTAAAACCTGTCAAAAGTTGTCTTAGAGCACTGTCTACGTTGGTAATGCAAGCCTAGGGGGCGCTGTTACTGACAACTGGCCTTGAAAATGTTTGACACGGGCAACTTTTCTACTTCTCATCACTTTAGACAGATGTAAGGTTTTATTTTACTGTGACGACAGCAGCAGCAGCAGCAGCACTGACAGCAGCAGCACCGATAGCAGCAGCACCGACAGCAGCAGCAGCGGCAGCAGCAGCACTGACAGCAGCAGCAGCGGCAGCAGCAGCACTGACAGCCAGCAGCAGCAGGAGTGTGATGATAATTTAAATTCACACCACAGTGTCTTTCCACTCTCCCCCTTCCTCCCTCAGATCGTTGTAACTGAATCCTCCGCCATCGAGTGGCTCAGGGTCAAAGCAGGCATTTTTCACCGTTTAGTCTATTAATAGCAGAGATCTGCTGGCTGTGAGTGTGTGTGTGTGTGTGTGTGTGTGTGTGTTCTGGCCTACTTCTGAACACTGATGCTGAAGAAAAGGTTCTTCCTTTATTCCCTTGTTTGCTCTTTACTGTCATTTTATCCACACATAAAGGAGGAGAGTTAGTGAGGGGGAGAGAGAGAGAGAGAGAGAGAGAAACAGATAAAAACTTTTTATTTCTGTGTGAACTCGTTTCAATTTGTATGTTTTTTAAGTTCAACGAGTTCACAAGCAGCGGCCCGTGGCCCACTTACCACGTCCTAGAGGTGGACCAGACCAGTTCATATAGTTCAACATGACCACTCAAAATGTGCCACCACTGAAAAAGTGTTATAACCGGTCCAGATCCAGACCGAGGTCCTCCATTTGGTGATGACTGCATTAGAGCTTCAACAGCTCCATAACAAGCCAACAACTAAACTCTCCCACACCAAACTCCATTAAGAAAATCATGGATTTAAGGCCGCGCAGACACAGGTGCTGTCGGTCCGCTGCTGCCTCCTGTGGCCTTAGGTGTCACTGAATTAAATCCAAACTAAAGACTACACAACCTTTAGCCATGTCTCACTAATGTTTCTAACTTCTGATTGGTTGGTGGGTGTTTATGACGGTGTCGCTGTGATCACTGTTAGAACCTCAGTCTATTTAAGTCTATGTCAGACTTTAAATAGTCACAAAAAGAGAGAGAGGGAGGGAAGGGGGGAGATGGTAGGAGAGAGGGTGAGAGTGAGAGGGTGAGAGATTGAGAGTGAGTGAGAGAGTGAGAGAGAGAGAGAGAGAGTTACTTGTCGTGCAGGCAATAGTTAAAGTGACTTAATCAGATCAAACTTAGTGACCCGAATAAACACAAACTGAACTGCGTGTGTGTGTGTGTGTGTGTGTGTGTTAAAACACATTGAGATGAGAAAAAGAGAAAAGTAGAACACATGAAAGAAACAGGAAAGAATGATAAAGAAAAGGTAAATAAAAGAAATATTTATATTTATATATGTTGTTTAAGAACAGATGAAGAGTAGAGCAGAGGACTGTGAAGTCATCTTCATCTTCATTATTATTACTACAGACCTCAGTGCTCCTCTCTCCGCCCCTCCTGGACTGAACCGTCAGCTGATCTGACCCGGAGTAACAAGCTAACCGCTAACCCTAGATGGCAGGTGTAACCTGATGCTGTTTGGTTCATGGAGGAGCAGTGGCTGATGGGAGGAAGGACAAAGGAAAGGTGACATCACCACAGCTGAGCTGATTTAGCAGTTTTTGTCAGAGGCGTCAGATTAAATAATCTGATGACGTCGAGGAGGATTGATCTTCCTGAAGGACGGATGACGGGAAAACTAGTAGAAGAAGTAGTAGGAGTACTATGAGGAGGAAGATGAGGAGGAAGATGAGGAGGAAGATGAGGAGGAAGATGAGGAGGAAGATGAGGAGGAAGATGAGGAGGAAGATGAAAGATG